AAAAAAAAAAAAAAATAATGAAAGAAAAAATATTTACATTTTTAACCTTTATTACTTTCTTATTTGTCTTTTTTTTTTTTATTTTGTCTAACTTTCCTAAAATTTATTCAATTCTTTTCGATTTGTTTACGCTATTCTTAACTGAGAGAGAGAGAGAGAGAGAGAGAAAAGATGGAAATGAATATTGCAATATGCTAAATGAAATGTTTGTTAGATGAAGGATTAATGGAATTTTAGCAGCTCTCATTCCTTTTAAGGTTTATTAAAAATGGGTAAGTGTTTTAAATACAATGTAAATAATACTTAAAATTGTTCATATTGAAATTTAGAAGGAAATTAGATGTATGCATAAAGTGGTAAATAAGAAGGAAAATTAACTTTTAAAGTATTAAATTTCAATGCAAAGCATATAGATTTAAGGCATATTCATGTTGCGAGCATATAATAACTTTTATCAAATGCCATAGTTTTACAGAATGCTAACCTAAAATATTGAGTCTTTTTTTTTTTTTTTGTAAAATAAACCAACCCAATAATTTTTCAAATTGAAAAAAAGATTATCAATATATTAATACTTACATATAGATGAATGATATCAAATTAGGAAATCTTTCAATAGACAAAATAAGATTGCAACATATAGCTAATTAATTAATTAATTAATTAACTGAGAATGCAACATATAGCTAATTAACTAATTAATTAGACACAAGAATTATATATGATAAATAGACTTAATGGAGAAGCTCAAATTTCGGCCCAATTAAATCGATGATTTTAAATAATTTAATGAAAAAGTAAAATTTTTTAAGAAATACTATCGTAATTTAATCGATAAAAATGTGGAATCATTGAATTTTATTAAACGATTAGCTAATTTTAAGTATTAGCGATTTTTTCTCTCCAAAGTAAAATTTATAATAAATTTGTATTTTAGGACGAAAAAATTCCAATAATATATGCAAGCAGTAAATTCTTTTTTTTTTCTTCCCCACTCTTCTT